CAATGGCGTAATCAATTTCGAGTTCTGTGGCCGATAAGGCCCTCAATTTAATTCCAAAGCAGATTATTCAAACAGATATTCCTACAGTGAACAGGTAGAATTCCAAAGTCGCATATTTTCACATAATGGCATACAAAACCATTCTTGATGCTTTCAGATTTATATTTATCACGTGAATGCATCCTAGATCTTTTCTAGACGCTTATTGCTCTTTTGGACAAGTGTGTGAGTTATTAACTCGTGCTCTGATACCACTCTGTCACGACCCAAACCCGCCCCCATGGGTTAAGGACATAACCGGCCAGTAATCATGAGATTACCTACGGCCTCAAACCAAAACAAATGTATTTTAACAGAGTTAATGGGGGCCAAACGGAAGCAGTTCAAAACTTTGTCCATAGAGCTGTGCTTACATGGCACATCTAAACAACCAAACATATATACATTAATAACTCACAACAGAAATATAGTAGTATAAGTTCTGTACAAACAGGATCATCCAAAGACTAAGTCAACCCATGAAAACTATATACAGACATATGCACAGTCCTCGCCAACATGACAAAAATAACATAGCATAGCAGAAAGGCAAAGACGAGTCTCGTGCGTGAGACACTAGGGCTGACTCTCCAAAACTCGGTTGTTCCACACAGACTTCACTGGGGCTGGGTCTGGACCTCTCTTGGCTCACCTACAAACACATGAATGAGCGTGAGCGATAGCCCAATGAATAATATCAAATAAGAAGATACAAACGATATGTAGAACAACATACTCCAAACGGCCTTGGGCCTAATTCACATTTTTATTTAACATTTATGTACACAATTTAAGTCAAGTGATGATGGCTTCAAACATACTGGCCTTTGGCCCATTTATCTTTCATTCCTGTCAAAACGGCCTCTGGCCCACTCATTTATGTCAAAATGGCCTCTGGCCCATCTATTCGTGTCAAAACGGCCTCTGGCCCATCCATTCATATCAAAATGGCCTTTGGCCCATCCATTCATGTCAAAACGGCCATTGGCCCATCCATTCATGTCAAAACGGCCTTTGGCCCATCCATTCTTTCTTGTCAAAACGGCCTCTGACCCATTCATTCTTTCTTGTCAAAACGGCCTCTGGCTCATTCATTCTTTCTTGTCAAAACGGCCTTTGGCCCATTCATTCTTATCAGACATTTGTCCACAATTCAAACTAGCAAATCATAAGGCATAAGGCTTATAAGAAAATAAGCAATTGGACAAACGACAAGCTTCCAAATATCGATATTATTCATAGTGATCGGTTGGTTGGTTTGCCCTGGAGCTCGATCCTACACAGTCCATGAACACAAAAGGATCACCAACAATTCAATCCGTTCTTAAATTCACATTTTCCTCTTTAGGCTTTATTCTTATCTCTTTAACTCAATTACAATGCTCAATGCATGCCTAAGAGTACTTAAAAGTGAAGGAGAACGGAAAATGAAACACAGAACGCATAAACAAAATTTCAGAAAATAAGGTCCCCGCTCGAGCGGACCCAATTGGTCTGCAAAAGTGCTAGTTGCATCAAATTCACGCTCGAGCGTGAACTCGGGCGCTCGAGCGGAAGGTTTGTCTACATAGCTCCCCGCTCGAGCATGGACTTCACCGCTTGAGCGAACCCATGCCTGCAAAAAAAAAAAAAAATACTGGGAGCCTGAATTCCCCGCTCGAGCGTTGGTTCCCTCGTTCAAGCGGACATCATGAATTCTGGGTTTTCCAAAATGGTTTCTTAAGTTCAATTTCGACATTTCAACCACATTTCTTGCATATTATGGCTCCAATTTCACACATACATATACTCACATGATACCAACACCAAATCATAACACAATGAAGCCCCATTTCTTGAATTACTTACATGCATGCCTCAAATTAACCCAAACTCATCACCAATACATCAAATTCAAACATGCAAAGCTCATACCTCCATGATCTACTCTTGCATGTGAGAAATATTCATTCATATCAACTTAATTGGTGAAGAGATGATCAAATAGATGGATTCCATACAAGATTCAACATAGATTATGCACATTGTGTTCAAACATGGAAATTCATAGTAATTTCCTACATGCATGCATCTATTGGCTTCAAATACAACAAAATCAACTCAATTTCCTAATAATCAAACTAATCCAAGTTCTAGACCATTAATCAAACTTGAATTCACAAGATTACAACTAATATTCACAAATTCACTCACCTAGGAGCTTCAAACACCCAAGCTCTAGTCAATTCTTGAGTTAAATCTTCAAATCCCCAAGCTTGAGCCAAAAATTGCACAATTCTCTCCCTCTCTCTCTCTATAGCCGGCCCTCTCTCTATCTTGAGTTCAATCAGCCAAATGAAGTTATAAGGAGAGAATAGAGGGTGTAGTGCCTCTTTACATAAGTTCCCACTAGCACCATTTAATAATAATAAATAATTGGGCACCTATTCACCAATTTAATCAACTTAATCTGGTTTGAATCAATTTTTCAATTAAACTTCACCATAGGCTCTAAAAATTATGCCAATCGCAATGGCGTAATCAATTTCGGGTTCTGTGGCCGATAAGGCCCTCAATTTAATTTTCAAAGCAGATGGTCAAACAGATATTCCTATGGTGAACAGATAGAAATTCAAAACCACATATTTTCACATAATGGCATACAAAATCATATTAAACACATAATCATACTCATATTAAGGACCAATTAACATATTACGGAACAGGGGTATCACAATCACCCACCTTGAATTGCCTTGGATTCACTGCATTGTTATACTTTTTGGATAGCTTTTGTTGATATACTGTAATGTGTGTCAGATCCTTCTCTCTTCGTTCTTTTGCAAGGTCAAGTTCCAAGGTTATTGCCTCCCTGTTCAAGTCTGGGTGAAAACTCTCGCTT